TTTATTTCCATTGGATTTTGTTTTCTGATGATGTATATATTTTAATAGACACTGTGCTTTTTATTTGGGACATTGTTCTGTTTTTTGTTACTTTGAGTCTTGGTTTCTATTACAGCTGATTTGACTATTAGTCAGTCACTTTTAGAGAAGTTAGTAATTACTGCTTATTCATTCAGGGAAGCCGATTAGATTACTTTAATGTCGAGCTAATTTAATTTTAACAATCTGCGTTAAAACAGAACATACAGCAAAATATTTTTATAAAATAAATATCAGGCTGTAACAAATTGATTATGACAAAATACTAATAGTTTGAATTTTAGCATAAAAATATTGTTTTAGATTTATATAGCATAAACATTTAACTTATAGGAGTTTAAGAGTTATTATTGTCATATTTTGTTGTTGTAGTTGTTGTTTTCCTTTTGAATTATTTATATTTCTTGTCGCTTCCTGGTATTTAGTTCGGCCATAAGGTCAATGATTCATTCCGCTGCTGTATTTTATTGTCTACAAATGACATGATACTAATTACTCGAAAAACTTAATGTCCCATAAAGATAGAACGTGTTTAACTTTGGTGGTATTCTATAATCATCAAAATCTGGTCATGAAAAAAATAAGGAGAAACTAATACCTGGTAGCATTTGATGCATCGCTTCATTTGAATGGACTAAATTTCGTTGATTAACTGAAATTTTCTTCTTTTTCTTAACCGAAAAAGAGAAAGAATAGCAAAAATAAATAAAAATCGAAAAAAACCGTTAAACTCTTATATAATGCACGCATACACATGTGCAAAGAACACTGACTGTGAGAACGTAATGTTTTAACCGCCTTTATCAACATTTACGAAGAAGATGTATAAAGCGTATTAAAGAAGATGAGGAAAAGGGAATATACAAGAGCCTGAAATGTGCTGGCGCACAACAGATTATATTCGCATATATTATACTAGTGTGATTATTGATTATTTTACGACAAAGGAATGGAATATTAAGCAGGACATTGTAAAGACAAACAGAAATTGTCAAATTTTGTATTGAACTGTTTTGGACCAAAAAAAAGAAATTTATCATAGAATAAAAAATTGTAGAATTATAATTCTTCTAGATGTATGATATTTTAAATTGTGCTCACTAAGCATTACATCTCCTTTCTAGTATATTATTTCCCGAAGCTTATTTTTCAAACAAACTTGTAATGTTCATGTCTGCATTAATGGATTCTGTGAATATGACTACAACTGTTTTTATATGTGGATGTATTTAATATGTGCAACTTAAATGACACTATGTACACTCGGAATGATTATATGATTTCCTAAAGTCTACAACAGTAGTCCAAATAGTAGGTTCTTATCAATCGTGCCTGTGAAGAAACTAATAGTCACTTATATCAAATGCAGATAAATCATACATTTGACAAAGATAAAGTTTATACAAAAATTACGGTTTTCTTGCGTGTAAAACAGCAATATTATTTCAGTGAGATCGAGGGATATTACAATAATCAGCATAATCGAATTATTTGTAGTCGTGGGTTCAACATTTGAAACCTGAAAAAAGAATATGGCTATTATTTGCTGCACAGTCATTCTGATGGAGGCAAACTTGTTATTTATTGAAAATTTTTATATTTAAAAGATGAGTTTGAAAATGTTATTAAATTGAACCGAAACATGACCATGGTGACCTCGATTCGCCTGCATGGCGTGCTTAACATCATTGTCATAAATCTAGTGTATCCGTTGCTTTTTTTCCTTTCTTAAAATAATTCATAACTCCCAGTGGCCACACTGGCATTAACAAAAGAAAATACTTAAGAAGGTTAAAAAATAACGTTGCGGGAGGGCACTTGATTTTTGAATTTTCTGATATACATTGCTGAAATTTAATCTCAGGCACAGCGCTTCCCGACAAACCTAACGACAAGTAGTTCTTAAAACAGCTTAAAACTAGTGATGTAAAACTATTTTGTTACCAGTATCCGTAAAGCTTTGGATTATTGTAATCGGAATTAAATGCCCCTAAATGAACATTAATTTTGTTATTTAGACTTTCTGAAAAATAAAGTTAGGCTGTTAAATCTAGGTCAGGGATGAATTAAGGGCAGTCTTCGATCGATAATCAATTTCTACCATAAGTTAAGCACCCGATCATTTAATCCACGTAAACAAAATGCTTTTTTAGCGCTGTCGATTACCGAAGACTTCTGCGCGTATCTGACTGATATACATGTCGGACTGTTTGGTCGAGAAGATTTTAGCTAAACCATTAACATCAGTTATCAACAACAGGTTTACCTAAAAATATATAAGAATTACAAACCATGAATTGAAATTCTGAATAAAGAATATGGTTTTATTCAGACTGATTTTACATCTCCGTGGCCCAGGGGTAACACGCTCGTTTACATTGTGACAGGTCTGAAGTTCAAATCCAAGTCGTGTCAACTAACTTTTTTTAAGTGTCTTTCTAACGATTTCAACATTCTTTCTTATGAATAAGCCGGAATATGCAAGGACTTCCATCCTCAGAAATGCAGCGTTCTGCGAGTAACCAGGGCAAAATCTTCTCTCCGGAGACCAACGTTTTCCTGAAAATACTTAGGTGCGGACTAACAATCAAACCTCGGCTGGAAACAACACATTGACAAGATCACCAAAACAGCTAACAACATGCTAGGCTTCTTAAAACTTAATTTGAGAAACAAAAGCTGTGAAACGAAAGAGAAAAAAAAAACCTACATATCTAACGATCTAACTTAGAATACTGCTGCACTGTTTGGAACTCAAATCACAAAATCCTTATACATAAAGTAGAAATGGTACAGGAAAGAGCACCACGCTTCACTTAAAACGGGTACCATAACAACAGCAGCGTCTCAGATATGATACCGGTACATCATCTAAATTGGGAAACACGCCGTCAAAAGCTCCAACTCATTATGCTTTACAAAATCATCTATCAACTTGTGGAGATAGATCCAGGCCAACCCAAACCAAGGTCGCTAAACAGTACCGGATTCCTACAATATTCAACGTCCATTGACAGTTATAAAGTTTTCTAGTTGTATTCCTCTGCAGAACAACCTGCAAGCATCTGTTGCAAAGGCTCATTTTTGGCATCCTTCAATAATGAGCTGTCTAAACTAACCTTTTAAAGGGGACTTACATGCACAAATACGAAGTACGGCAAAGTGATGGGCTTGAGCTTTACCAGCAGGGTCTGGGACCTTGGCAACGCCACGGAAGCTGGATTGGTCTTGCCCATATGGCTACAAACGTAACTGTGTACAAATATTTTATGCTACTTCATTTATTTTTAACTTCTATTTAGCAAAAACTGTGTCCGTGTCCTTTTTCTTTCTATCCTATTTTATTTCTCTTTTGTCTTTTTTTCTTGCGCTTCGTTACAGAAATGTTAAGTTTGGTTGTATTTGGCACCATAGAAAGATGATTTCGTTGTTATACAATCATATAACATACATAAAACGCAAATCTAATCTTTACGATATCAAAGCAAGACCCTAGTTTTAAATATATAGTGAAGCGAGTATAAACGATTTTATTATATTTTCCAAAATCTTTTCCATTTGAGTAATGTTTTTCTGAAAAAAACTTGGAAGAGAAAAATAATCGTTTAAAAGAATCGAGACTCATTATGTGAATTTCTGCAAAAATCGATGGAATTTAGAAAGATTTAAGAGTGTTTTCATAAAGTAATTCAGGAAGTGTAACACAAACATTTGATGTTCTTCTTTATTTTAAAGAGGCTGCTAGGAAAATTTTATTTTGGCACATTTAAGTGGTTATTGTTTTCAAAAAATATTTCTTTATTCTGAGTGTAATAATACTGTTAAAGAGCAGACCCATTATGTACAAAAACCAACGCAACTTTGCAATCACGGTTAAGAAATACTTTTGAAATTTAAAGGTCATATCTCATGAAAGAATTTTATTGAATTACATTTAATACAATGTTAACAACAAAAAGTGATATAAGGACACATTCAAAACAAATGATAAAAGGAACAATTCGAAGATATTTTTGGCGTTAACTGTAATTAAAGTGCACTGCATTGTGAAATTACAGTTTAGTGACACTTTCTTGGTGACGCTCATCATTATTATATAGATATCCATGGTAAAACAGACATCTTGTCGATAAATCGATAGTTCACTGATGCATATAGTGTGATGATTCTGGACATTGTACGCCTGTACATTTGAAAATATTTAATATGTAATTTAAACTAATATACCACTACAAAATACATGTGTGTTATAAATTGCCATACCTTAAGCATTATAAAAATGCTCTGTTTGATATGGAACCTCGAAAATGTTTATTTAAACAAGTGCAATTTATATAAAGGTAAGTAACTAATGTAAACTGTATGATTTTAACATAAAAAGACAAGATGTTAAAATCAATAAAAACAGTTTATGATTGTATCATAAATGTATGTTTTAATCTTTAAGGAGAATGAGGTCTGCCACAGATGGTATCTTTGCGGGTTTTTTTTCTCATTAAACATAAAATACTTATGTCGTTGAAACATATTGTGTGAAATTATAAATACTAAGGACACGACAAAATAGAACACACACAGTAAACAGTTTTGGATTGTTAACGTGGGCGATTTATATGTGATAGCATTTAAAGTCATGTCATTGATAAATGTAAATCTGTATTAGCTCTTGTCAAGGGAATTTTGACTGACAAGCTAGTAATGTTTTAGTTAAATAGAAGCATGATTAATCACAAAAGGATTATGAAATATATTAAAAAGAAATATGTGTTATATAAAGAAAATAAAGTAGATTTTTGAAAAATGAAAATAAGTTAAATTAACCTATACAAATGATATAGAACCCTGTTTTATTTTGTATTTCCAATAATGTACGGCTTGGTTAGAATTTTCGTTATAAACATCCGATAGACATTGGAGCGCCGGTATAAAGCATAATACAGCAACAGATTGGTAGCATTGTGCGCACAGTTAATGTCATTGTAGGAGTATGACTAGCGTCGCAGCAGTAAACTTGTGTTTTATGTTTCTGATTGGAACTATTGTTGCACAACATGATGATTGCAATAACATATCAGGATTTGTCCAAGCTGCAGATAATTTGTAAGTTAGTGTTTACAATATTTTTCACAAATAATAATAATACAGTTATTGTTTAGTATTATACGTTTTTGTACGAAATGATTACTTTGTGACGTGTTGGTATACCACCAAACGGGAATTTATTCAATATAACTTTTAAACTAATTATTTTCCGGTTTTTTTTAACTTCGGCCTTGCAATAACTTTCAAACCCGTTATTTCTGTAAATGTGTATTCTTTTTCTGTTTTTCTTTTAAATTAATTTGTATACTTCTCACACATTATTATTATTATCATATTTTTTATATTATTAAAACTATAATATAAGTCATTTAAACAACTATCGCATGATGAAGAATTTTCGGAAATGACATTGCATTGTGCTAGCGCTGTTTCACACTTCTATTTAAGCCACTGTATGTTTCTTTTTAACAATGCCTTATCATTTAAAACTGTGGACAGTGTTTGATATATATGTTCCTGACTTTTAAGTGCTATATATGCTTTCTTTTTTTGATCACAGTGAATTATTTGCTCCAATTTTCTTTCCGTTCCTCTTTTAACACATGTTTAGAACGTTTGTTTACGAACCAAGATAGAAAAAGTAAGTCATTTTGACACGATAATTGTAAAATTTTGGAAATAATTTCAAGAACATTCATATCATGATTTGATGCAAACATAGGTATTACTCAGTATAGGGATTTTTATGACCATTTATTGTAGCTAATTGTATCTATTTCAAAATACACACAAATTAACCATAACAAAAAAGGGAATCTATTTAAACGCGCATCGAATATAATTAATTTTTTAAAACATTGTCAGGTAAAGAATTTACATTGAAAATGATTATAACTAGTGTTAATAGGGACAGCATTGGGGTCATATGACATGAAGGACTTCAATTATTTTTTCGAGATTAGTGATTGATTTGATGTAGGTCTAGACCAATGACTTGTTTGCATAATTTTTCATCATTCGATCACTCCGATTTTCTTTCAACGTTTTAAAGGCTTTTTTATTAAAATCGGGTAAAGTATAATACAAAAATATTTTTTTAAAATGTCCGAGTATATTTCTTCAATACCTTTTGCATATTTCTGAACATTTTTATGTCAACCTACTTCTCTATAGTCAGTTTATAATTTTAGATAACGTGAGCACTAACAGACAAGCACAATTAATATGCCGTTTTTATTATTTCATTCCAAAGATTACAATGTAGCTCCAACTTTGTACCGATTCTCGAATATAAAGAAAAAATGAACTGGAATACCTGAACAATATTTTCGTTGGAGCGGCAGCATATTAAACATCAACATGCAGTGACTTTTTTCGCTGCATTTTACAGCCAAATAAAGGCTGTTTCCCCTAGCTCAAAATAGAATAATAATAAAAAGCAAATATTTTCCCCTAAAATACCTCGTGCTCTTCCTTACAAGAACAATGACATAACAGCATTTGATTTATATCAGCTAGAAGACAGAAAGCTGTCTCTATAGACAGCTTCTATGATGTACCATGCATGATAAAATTAATTTAAAAATGAAAATTTTATACAAATGGGTTGGTAATTTCCATTCTCAGTTGTTGGAATCTGATTTGAGGTTTCTGATTTATCTCACTATAATTTCCCCTTCAAAAAGCCACAGGTTGTTTTGAAAATTGGAAAAAAAGCACTGACAAAACTTCAACATATTTTTTTAATCTATCTATTTTTTTATTTAATTCAATCTCCCAGTAAATCAAAAAATACGGATACATGTGTTTAAAATAAACAATGACAGTAAATGTTGTATATTATATGTTGAATTTTATTATATTTTACTTGACAACATTTCACTTCATTTTTTCCTCTGAATACCTACAACATCATCGATTGTTTTTAGCTCGACTATTCGATAAGAATAAGTAGAGCTATTGTAGTCATCCGAGCGTCGGCGTATCCACTTATGTTAAAGTTTTTAAAATACATCAAATATTTTCAAAGTCCATTGATATATTTCTTTGAAACTTTGCACAATTGTTTACCATTATGACCCCAACCTGTAGACAGGAGGAGGTAACTGTATCAAGGATTTTGACAGAATTATGCCCCTTTTACGACTTAGAATATACATTTGAGTTTGCATACCACCTCAGATATTTTCATATTCTATTAACATCTGGCTTTGAAACAAGTTGAAATTTTATACTCTTCTTTGAGAGCATAATAGGACTCTCTTCAAGGCCTATAACTTTAACATGGATTTAAAGAAAAAAAATTGCCCTTTTGTTAACTTAGAAAAGTTCACATTATCAAGGCTTTTTTTACTAGCAAGCACTAAGAATAGTCGAGCGTTGCTGTCCTACCGACAGCTCTTGTTTTTCAAATTCATTTATTGCTATATGTAAACAATAAGATGTATGCAGTTCAAATCTTAAAAATATACGAATAGATGGCAGGGGTCTTGGAATTAAGTTTTGGTTAAAATAAAACATCTTATAACGGCTTTTACAATTTGAGCTGAACTTTGTTGTTGTTTTTATTTTTCTTCAGATGGACTTAATGATTTAATATGATTTGCACACTTAGAAATATCTTATTTATTTTAAGCATCTAGGCATTAAAAATAATTAATTTTACTTTTTATCTTATATTATTCAAATTGCTCCAAAAAAAGATTGAATTATTAATTTCTGTTTTAATATTATAGTGAGATTATGCTCATATTTTCATAGTCAAGTTGAGCTGAATTAACTTAATATTTCAAAAGATTGACTTCAAAATGGTGTTTGACCAACAGTTGATATTAGAAAATGTTTAGGATAAAAATATAAATCTGCCTTAAATTTAAAAAGACTGCCCCACTCTTTTATAAACTAAGTGTTTTACGTAAATTCTAATGGATCTTTGCAGAAATTTCATTTGGATCTGTGCATTATTTATTGTTTATGTGAATTTAAATATTAAACTGCAAAGATTTATGGCAAAATGAAATCTTTTTTTGATCTTCACCTGAACACTCACTATATACCCTTGGATGGGCATAATGCCACTTTAAAATTCAAGAAGTGTTCTTGTATCAAAAAATTATGTAATCCATCTAAGGAATTCTAATAACCTCAACATAAATTTATTTATCAAAAATATTTCTTTTCATAGACTAAGTATTGTAATCGATTAACTTGAACTCAGATAATTTTATTGCATTTACCATGCAATATATATTTTTAAACACATGTACAGCTTATCTATAGCAAGAATTGAAGGAAGGGAGTTAGAAATCCATCCCAAAGGCAGAAAATACAATTTCAATCCCGGTCAAAACTAATTATTTAATTATATTCTAAATAAAGACTAACACCTGCAGTGCCTTTAAGTTTATTGCATGAACACAGAATTTGCAAACACAATAAACAACAATTATAATGACAGTACAATCAAGATACAGTTATGATATCACAAACATACGTCATTATCGGATGACTATGAAGAAATTGTCTATCAGGTTGGCTTGTAATGGCCTCTCAAGTTTGTTTTGTTTGTTTGTTTGGATTTTTACGGCACGTCAACACATAACTTGCCATATCGTGCCGAATGCTATAGTAGGCTTAAAATATTATGTCAAACATTGTAAATGACAATAGAAATGAGCCAATTAGATCCTAGAATACAAGTTTATCTCTTTTAAATAATCAATTATGTTTTTTGATGGAATTGTAGTAAAAAGTTCTTTGAGTGAATTTACAGAATAAAATCTATTACGGGCCTGTGAAAAATCATGACATTCAAGAAGAAAATGCTTGACAGTAAAATTTTCATTACAACCTACACAGAAAGGGGCATTGTCATTTGTGAGGAGATAAGAGTGGGTAATTTTAGTGTGTCCAATTCGGCACCGAAGAAGAACTGTTTGATCACGGCGGTTTGACAGAGATAGAGATGGTGACATATCAAGAGATGGGTTTATATCGTGAAGTTTATTAAAAACGGCATTGTCCCAATTTGCTTTCCATTCAGATGATACGAGTTTATTTATAGCCGGTCTAAAATCACAAGCAGGTAACAATAAGTCAGTTTTTTGAAAATTTAATGATTGTTTAGCTAAAGCATCTACTTTTTCATTTCCTCGTATTCCTACATGGCTTGGAATCCAATATAATTTAACATATTTTGTTTTTAGTATATCATGAAATCGTAAAAGAAGTTTCTTTACCATGATATTGTCAGTTTGTTTTATTTTTAATGGATATTAAAAAAGAAAGCGAGTCAGAAAATATCACAAATTTATCGTGGGTATGCTGTGCTATGTATGACAATGCTAAATCGATAGCTTTTGTTTCAGCAGTAAAAATTGATGCATTATCTGGTAACCTCATACTAGATGTAAAATTATTTTCAAACACAGCCGCACCTACTTTGCAACCTTCTTTTGAACCGTCCGTATAAATATGTATAAAAATCTTCATGTTCTTCCTTAATTGCTAGAAACTTCTCTTTGAAATATTCAAGTGAATTTGATGCCTTTTTTATATTTGAAAGGTTAATATTTATTTCCGGGGAATTATAAGTCCAAGGTGGAACATTCTCATCGTCATTTTGAAGGATACTGTCTGGATTAATTTTAAGTTTATCTAAATCATCTTTTAAACGAAGGCCTAATGGTTTAATTTCCTTTGGTTTGTTAACAAATTTATTTTTCAGTATAACTTGGTTTGAAAATAATATTTTTAGCTGGATTTTTCCTATTAGATGAAATTCTAGTTGCATATTGAAGTGATAGCTTTTTACGACGAAGATAAAGCGATGGTTCCCCAGCTTCCGCATATAGACTTTCTACAGGTGAAGTGCGAAACGCACCTAAAGCTAAACGTAAACCCTGGTGATGTATGGTATCTCGCATTTGAAGATATGATTTTCTTGCAGACCCATATACTGCAGAACCATAATCTAATTTTGATCGGATAAGACTTCTGTATAATTTCAGTAATGTTGAAGAATTTGATCCCCAATTTGTACTTGATAAAACCTTAAG